CCGTTCTCCATGTCGCATTCAGCGTCGAATATGTCGGCCGTCACCGGCATGCGACAAGATGCAATGGGTGAGTCATAAATAATGCAACGCCAGCGCTTTGGGTGTGCGTAAAATGTGTACGGCGATGAATGGCTCGTGAGCGCGGTTGCGCTCTCATTTGGGTCAAGGATTATGCAAATGTCCTTAATCCCACAAATATCCTTGATATCCTCGCGTTCGTGGGTAACGGATTTCACTTTTTCACGCGAAGCATCGATCGTTGGTTCCTCGCGTCGCGTTTCGAACGCGATCCCAATCGCGCGGCTCTTAATTATTTAGTGTTCTTAATGGATATAGATAATTGATTATTTTATAACGCGGCCTATTTGTCTAATGAACGATTTCCTAAACTAAACTGCGAGAATCGCTTTAAATAAAAATTCAATTGGAAAGATGTATACATATAATTGTGCGTGTCAAGCTCGCGCTACAGTAAGTAGGAGCTATAATTTTTGTCGGAAGTAAACGAAAGGATGTCAATTTACGTAATACCCTATACCATATTTTAAATATTAAGATTTAGGAAAGGACAACATTTCGTCAAATCAATATGAAGTATTTGACAATTGTAACATTTAATACTATAATAATTAAATATTATTTAACAATTATAACATCTGATTTGGTAAGAATACACGGAAAGAACAATTTTGTTGAAAGGTCTAAAAATTTTGCTAAATACAGATCTGAAGATAATTTTTTGTTGAATTATCAAAATAATTTGTTGGAATGTTAAATTTGTTGGAATAATAAGCATTGCTATAAAACATTTTGATATTCTAGCAATCATTTTGACTTTCGCACAAAATTATTTTGATTATTGAACAAAAATTATTTTCAAATCTGGATTCAGCAAAATTGTTCTTTCCGTGTATGATTTAGAATATAATGTAGGATATTATAAAAATTGACTTGCTTTGCGTTAATTAAGAATTATTAGTCCCAGAATTGTCCCGATTGTACAATACGTATTTCACTCGATCGTTGTCTTTCGACCAACGCGTCAATTTATCCCCCCGCGAGATCACGCGAACGTGGAACGGAGACGTAAACTAATTTCTTCGGCCTCGCTCGGCCTCGTTCTCTTGTCCAGCGTCTTCACGACGACTTTCCGTGCCGTTCCCGGGCGCTGACCCGGCGTTATCGAATGACTCCGCAAAAATCCGGAGCGGAAATGGCGCGAATCCGACCCGTGCCCGTGCACGAGAGCGAGAGAGCTCTCCGCGCGCTCTCTGGTCCCCGCCTGCAGCCTCCAAGACGCTCTCTCCATTTCCGCCCCAGCGCCGTCTTACACCATTTCCGGCGCGAGATGGAATATCGCTTTTAAATCGAATCAAGACTATTCGCGAATTGCCTCACCCGTCAGGGGGAGGGGAGATGCGAGCGAGCGACTGCTGTACGAGTGCGCGGCCTCGCACCGCGCTCTCGCAATCCCGCCGCTTCTCCTTAACGACTTAACGCCTCTCTCTTTAACGTCTTAATGCGATAGCAAATCGACCGATTAGCGGAGACTCGATAAAGCACCGCGGAAAGTCGGTTAAATCGAATCACTCCGGGATTCTTTCGGAATAGAAAAGAAATCCCGCTTCTCCGCGCCGAATGACGTCCGACTTTGACTTGTCAGGGAAATTGGTAAGCGCCGCGTGGGTGTTTCAATTAAAGCTAACGTTAATGACGTTCCCGGTCCCGTTACTATGCTGCCGTTAAAAAATAAACATGTGTAATTCGAAGAGAAAGAAAGATATGGAGAGAGAGAAAAACTGTCAAAATTTGCAGCTTAATTCAAGCTGACGCAATCTCGAAATACACGCGCGCGCGCGCGCGCGCGTGTGGTTCGTCTAAAAATCTCGTCTTTTTTTTCCCATTTCAGGAATGTCAGCGGAGGACGAGTGGTACAACAAGAGCATCTCGGCCCTGAGAATGAACACAGCCCACCACCCGAATCTGGCCGCGCCGATGTTACAGTACCAGACATAATTGTAAACGGAGGCGAGAGGGCGACTCGAGGATCTCGTCAGGAGTCCGATGGCGTACCTATGATCGAGGATCGAGCCAATCCGATGGCGATCGATGGAAGAAAATCGAGAGAGAGAAAGAGAGAGAGAGAGAGAGATGTGACGAGCTCGATGAAGCCCGATCGACGTTTTGCCATTTTGCAGAAGAATGAAGAAAAAGAAAAGAAAGGAAGGAAAACAGAACCGTGGATCGATTTGCGTTAACGCTAATCGGCTCGCGCGGCCGCGTCGACATCCTCGCATTTCGCGACGCGTCCTCGCGCATCTCGCTTGCAAGCAAGCAAGCAAGCAAGCTCGATTCGCAACAGCATATACACATGTCGCGAGTTCTCAATCCGATCGCGTTCTCGCGTTTCGTCGTCGACCGGGGCAGGCCGAATGTAAGTTTGAGCACGAGCAACACGTTGAAGACTTGCGCGATGATGAAATGGCGGGACTGCGTTTATTCGGGATTGTGAACTTCAAAAGTTTAACAACGCCAATCGCACGCGTGCGAAATATCGTTGCAGAATATCAATTGGCACATCTAGATCCTCGTTCTCGCGTAATTTTCGCGATTTAGGATACATTACGATCGACATGCAGGTTGTCCCTTTACGCATCGCGTATTCCCTTTCTCGATTGACAAATCCTTTCGCAAGATATTTTTGTAAGATAGATTTTTTTTACATAATCAGAGGGAAGCTTATCAATAAAGTTGAGTTTAAGAAGAAATTCGAGCAGATTTTAAATAAATTTTTAGTGTTAATTAAATTAAATTTTACAGCTTAATTTTGCTGCAATTCGAGAACCGTTGCTATTTGATGAAAAGCTCGATCAGAATTAGGTAAAAAAAATCTGTATTGTGAACGATGTAGGATACGTGTGAATCAACAGAAGTTACTTTAACGCGGAGGAGAAGCGATTTAAATTTTTCTGTGCGAGAATTTGAACGTTTCCAGCCAGACGGTTTGCTTCGATCCTCGTACCACAGAAACGCTTGATGATCTACTTCTTTACACACTGAAAAAAATGCGCGATGTTCGAGATACCCTGCATTTTGGATTCGCGCGGACAGCGAGGGATATCCCGCGATTAGCGTGTACAGAGAACGTAGAGCTCGTTTGCCGCGAGATTGTCGTGTATTTTCTACGTGTAGCCGTTTCTTTTTCCCGCGTCTGATTCCTTCTGTTCGAGAGACGCGTCGCATCCGCACATAACGCGCTCGCGTGCGCGGCGGCATTCCGTTAATCTCCTACTAACAACGATACGTGCCACACCTTCGTTAATCGGCGAGAGCGAAAGAGAGAGAGAGAGAGAGAGAGAGAGAGAGGGGGAGGGGGGGGGAACAGAGGACTGTGTATATAAGTGGATGAAAGAGAAGATATAGATATATAGAGATTGCGTAATCGGCAGATACTCTAGCATATGCGATTTTTCAATGTCCTTTTAAAAGTGTAAGCATACCCTTAGTGAATGATATTAGGCATTGATTTGTGTGCTTATGTTGACCACGATTTTGGATAAGCAAGGAGGGGAAGAGGGGGAGGGGCGCGCGCGTTGGAGAGGGATGGTGGTACATCTGACAGTGTTTTGCGTTCGAAATTTGAGGGGCGCCAGGGTATTCCCGTCGCGACGAGCGGATTGCCGAAACTCACCCCTTCGCGCGGATCAGACGCCGTCGCACGCAAATCGATGTGGGGGAGGGGGGTGCGTCGCGTTGATTAAAAAATAAAAAAGATAGAATTAAAAGATAAAGGACGATTTTACGTTTCACGTATTGAACTGTAAGTATATTATGCATCTGATCTCGAAGGCGTCACACGTGAGACACACTGACTTAAGTTAATAGAATACAAGTTATTGAAGGTACATATGGACATCGAGATGAGCGTTGACGATAGCATCGTTTATATTTTTAGATTCGTGTCAGTTTTAGGACCGGGGGTGCGACGTGCGCAAGCGTGTCGATCAACAAGACATTCTGAATTTTCCGACAGAATGCTGGGTAGCTTGTGTATATAGATTTGTGTGCGACGGCTTGTGTGCTGATTTCACATCGAGAAAGTATCCAGATAATGTCAGACTCGCCAAACGACGAGAGGTTGCAAGGGTGAATTTGTTAGACGAAGAAAGAGAGACGTCGAACTTCGTTTTCACCACCGTTTTCGCGAGTGTCGATCGTCGGGAGGTGCCGCATCTTTAACCTTGGACGAAATGAGGCGTAAATTTTATTGCACCGCGAGGCGAAGAGTCTCTCACCGAGAGGTCGGTGCCTGGACAATTGACAAACGTATAACACAGGCCCACGAGGATCCACGGAGTCAACAGAGTCTGAACAGAGAAAGACGGGTCGCACTCTGTCTCATCCGTATCCAGGATTAAATATGTAATTATCGCTAACAGATCGTATCGTGTAACAATGTTGTCCTCGTAATAGTCAGACCGACTGCATCAACAGACAGCGAATGATTCCCCAGGCCGAACGATTGCCCGACATCGCGGAAGCGCGGAAATGGCCAGACGACTATGTGTATTATTAACGAAGGTAATTTGCGAATGTCACGCATTGAAAATATCGGATCGTCGATGAGACGGTTGCCGAACGTACATTATTCACTCTGTTGCCGCAAGCCGGTTAATTATTGCGATCGTTCGTCGTCCGGATGCTTTCCCGCGTATAAAAGCAGAAACGGTGCTTTTGCCGCTTTAACCGTTTGCACTTCGAATTTCCGAAATCCTACATTAATTTCCGGTCTAATATCATTACGTTTACAGGTTTCGTAAAAACAGGCATTACGTGCGCTTTAAATAGGTTCTTATGAAGAAAAGAAGCTATATCAGGCGCGAAGCTATACGTACTGTTAATGTTTTATTCGATTTTGAGAAACATATCACAAACGCGTGCAAACTTTTTACGTGTGAAACCTTTTCGTAATAAATGTATAAATATCTCGATCTACTTACCTCGATATTGTACAATTCCGCGAAGACATCAGAGGAGCGGGTTTTGCAGCGGACACACGCGGGGCGCAAACGGTTAATTGACGCGCGACTCGCGACTTCTCCCTGGCGCCTTTCAGTCATAAATATTCGGAGTCTGTCCAGTCAACAATCGTCTATATTGGTGTCATTTTTCGATAACTGTCTAATCAATATATCGACTCGAGGATGAAGCTGCAGACGACTGCGCATTGTTTTCGTGTAGTTTCGCTGCGACCTTATTATTACCGCTCGCGGCATTCCACGAGAAATGTTCCTAAAAAGTTTGTAACATATCGTACATACACGGTACAGACACATATGCATGGATACAGACACACATACACACACACACGTACACGTAACCAAGTATACACACACACGCGCAAATACACACGAGACGTGCGTGGGCGCGTACACGTCCAAGACACGAAATTACACGCGTCACGTTATGTCGAGAGGACAAGATTAAAAATTAAGTGGAAATGCATACCGGACGAGCGTAACATAGTTTTAAGCAAGGGTCACGTATTGTACGTATGTGTTGTACATAGCCTAAATAAAAATTACATTTAAAATTACCCTCCTTTCTTCCTCTTAAATCTCCTCTTTCTTCCCAATTTTTCGGACGGTGCAAAATTAATCGTGCGTCCACGTTGGAATGCAGATTGAAAAGCTACGTTGAATTTTCGAATACACATTATATATATCGAGCTGGATAAAATGCCGAATGTTGTCAGCACTAAAAGAATAATGCATCGTGTTTTATTGCTCCAATTTTGAAATCACACGTTGAAAAAGAAAATAGAACAAAAATAGATCCATATACCATTGAAATGACACAATAGCAGAGCTGCATGATTTGTAATGCCATTATTGCAGACTCTATCGACAGAGCACGAGTTTAGAACTTGAACAATTCGCATTGTATTAATTAAAACTGCTGGAACGATGCTGTCAGTTAATTTGCTAGGTGTATACTGTAAAAAAATTAAAATGCATTTTATTTATAGTACAGAATTCTTTCGCTTACGGATCTTTTTTTCTCAGTCATTGTGTCACACTACTGATTATACACATGTCACACAAAATTTTATAGACTATAGTACGTCCTCCGTCACGTATTACAAATTGAAATATTATGAGATATATTTAAACAGTATAATAATAAAATATATTTATACAACTCTTCTTTACATTCGACTTTGAATAAACAAAGTACGTTTCATGTCTTTAAACGAAATCTTAACATAATATAAGATTTTGTTTATGACTATCAGTTTTCGTTATTACATGTCAGTACATGTTGTTCGATTCATGCATCGTTAAATTTTTTTCTCGACTAGACCGTGCAAGAAGAAAATTAGGGAATTATTACCTTCCAATGATTCTTGCGACAATTTGGAAATGTTGAATATTTTAGTTCATTAGGAAAATGATAAAAGAGGTATATATTTAGATGTAGAAGAGTGTGGAGAGTTTATATAATCTTCTCATTTCTTTATGATATTATAGGGAAAAAATAAAGAAAATAAACAAGATGTTACTTATATCGAACATAAAAACCAATTATTTTGGACAATATGGATTAACATAATTGTCGTATAATTTATGATGTAAATTTTCTTATTAATTGAATCTAGTATAGGCAATATATACTTATATCTTCTTTTTTTTTTTCAAATTATGGGTATCATTTTTGATGACATAATCACGAGACACAATCGTGTCTAGGCGCTAAAAAGGACGCACCGGACTGGACCATGTCTCTTTACGCGAGTTGTATGTACATAATTTTCCTGCACTAGTATACCACAGAAGTACGTCTCGGCGAATATGATATTTTAATTCAATAATTATTTAGGTTAGTAAATAATTACCCTTATTTTTGTTTATCAAGGCACACTGTACAGATATTAGATGCTCAATAAATGCCAGTTGCTTGTCTAATTTTAGACCATTTCCGATTGGACGAAATTCCCGTTCATATCAAAGATGAACGCGTGATGTGTGGAAGCTGTTTTCAACGATGCTCGAAGTATAATTTACATTATTTCCGCTTTCCGGCTACCTAGACTTTTCTTTATTAACGCCCAATCTTCCAATATATCCGCGTCGTTGAGCATGTAAACGATGTAAGGTCCTGTGACGGAAATCGCTCGTCTTCTCTCCGAATGGTTTCTGCGTCTCCTGCCAGTTGTGTTAAGCCACAAATCCGCATGTATGTCCACGTTATTCCTATCTTCCTCTAGACGGCGAATCTTCTCCTGCAGGTCGTTATGGATGCAATCCCAGACCAGACCTTTCTCGCTTTCAAAATTTTGGAAGGCGGCCAGCTCTTCCGCTAGGAATTTATTCTGAATATTTTGTAATCTATATTTTCTCAATATTCCAGCCACTTCTGTTTTCGTCTTCATGTTTTCCTTTAATCGCTCCAATGGTATTAGGTATTCCTCGGATTTTCCAACACGGACTTCACCGAGCTTTGTGTCCACTTGCGTGATTCTTTCTCGGTATAATCTGAAATAAATAATAATGGTTAAAGTGTAAATTTATATTGTATTTTTAAAATCTTACTTATTTTTCACATCACCAGCAATACTCAAATTGCAATTTCACAATTAATAATTTTGCGATGTTATTAACTTCCAATACAATTAATAAAGTCAATAATACATATAATTAATATTTAATTAATATATATAATTATAATACATATAATTTATATCACTGACGAGAAGAAATTTGTCGTCGCTAAGCATTTTCATTAACATATCTTCAAAACATTCTACAAACTTAAAGATATATTTGTGCAGATTATTATAATATATGTTACAAGAGAGAAAGCTGATATACTTAGAAATATGATAGTACTTACTGTTCTTTGAGTACAGTAAACTGTCTTTCCAAATCCGCCAGATTATCTATGCATTCAGTACGCCTCCTCTCGCATTCATCCTCGTCCATCTCCGACGAGTCATCGCTGTCAGTGTGTTCCGCGCTGCTGTCGCACGACGCGGAACTCTGATTACTATCGTTACTGTCGTGAGACATTTCCTCCCCTTCGCCATCCGATTCATCCTTGACGCTTGGCATTTATCCTGGCAATAATAAAAAGCTCGCGAGTTAGTGGATATTTTTTTTTATGCAGTACGTGGTAAAAAATATCTAAACAAGGGATATCTAAAAGACAAATGTTTTAAAACAATTTTTGAGAAAATCTGGACTTTTGAATTTTACTGATAAAAAAAACAATGTATTTAAATGGAGCAAATTGATTAATTTTCTACACTGCTATACATAATTAAACATTTATAATTTATCTCTTGTTGTAATTACTTATTGTGACGATTTTTCGCGCGAAACGATAATTTTACCCGCGTTTTTTTTCCCTGCGATTTGGAGTCTAAGCAGCTGATTGACAATACTCGGTCGATACGGCAGATTTCTTAACCTTAATATTGCTTCTATTTTTGTTATTTTTGTTTTTATAGTCTCTTATGCTTCTTACAAACAATAGCGACAATTTCAATTTTTTGAGCTTTATTTACGTACAAAAATAAAGACAGAGAGTTATATTTAAGTGACTATATATGACTATTTCTGTGACTATACATACATATATGACAAATTTTCCAATCACCAAAACATTATTCAATTCAATTTTTACGTATTCAAAAGGATAGACATACACGTTGAGAAATAAATAATATATTAAACAAATGCTCGGTAGGCAAGTATTAAAAACAAGGTTAACTTTTACAGAAGCAAAAGTTACATCAATGTGAACGGAGTATCACTAACGGAAAAGTTGTTTCACATCCAGTTTTTATGGAAAATAACGTCTCGCATATATTTAGTTACGCGCAATGGAGTTATTCGCGTCTAATTAAGCAGTAGCTAGGTTACGTGTTACTCGGAAGATACAGCTGAATGAATTCGAGTTTCCAGAAAATTTCTCATCGCACATCACGCGCAGTCGTAAAATTTAAATTCGAATGAACAGACGAGATTCTCACTGAGTATTCAACACTTACTATGTGATGATTTTCAAATTTACACTTCCCGAGATACAGCCTCAAGCGATCGTTCGAGTCGTTCGGCGAACGGCGACTTCGACAGACGCACAATTTGTTGACAACCAGTGTTGCCCAGTGCCCCCAGACTCCGAAGCGGCGTACCAACTGCTTAGCGAGAAAAAAAACACTATACATGTGGTTGAAATCAGAGAGGATCCGAGAGCGCGGACATGCCGGCCTTTTGGCTGTAATGTTAAATGCCCTCGCGCACTATCGCCCTCTGAAGAAGTGGATCCAAATTACATAGCAAAATCAAGATTTCTGCACAATTTGTGGTGTGTGTCCGTACTAAATTCACTTTACGAGTCTGCTGGGGCTTTATTTTCAAAAAATAACGCATTAGAAAGTATATTTCTTTACTTTCTAATGCGTTATTTTTCGAAAATAAAGCTCCAGCAGACTCGAAAAGTGGATTTAGTATACGAACACGCACCACAAATTGTGCAGAAATCTTGATTTAATTTGTGCTATGTAATTTGGATCCATTTCTTCAGAGGGCGATAGTGCGCGAGGGTATTTTAGCGTTACAGCCAAAAGGCCATGTCCGCTCTCGGATCCTCTCTGCTCTTACTTGGCCCTTATCAGAATCTCTACATTCAAAATAAGACAAATATACTATTATCGTTGAAAAAGAAATTATTGAATAAATATTTTCGTTCAAAACATGTATGTGTTATCTACAGAGAAAACTTAAAATATGACTGCGTAGTTATACATTTTATGACTGTAGATGACGCTAAGTGTACGAAATGCATTGAAAGCGAGGAATGACTTTTACCTGATCTTTCCCTGATTTACCCTTTATTCAATAAATCGACTGATTTCCCTGATTAATTAAATCGACTAATTACTTAATTACTAATTCGTCAAATAATATCCCTTTCATTAAGAGAGATAGAATATTATTAATTTGAACAATTTTTTCTTGCTTAATTCATGGGAAAGCTGTATATAAACCAGATAATATAGTACGGATTTATATATAAAAAAATTTTGCTATAAGCAATTATGGATTGAATTAGATAGTTTTAAAATTCCAAAGCCATTCTCATGTTTATTTCTTCTAACGTAGATTAATTTCTTGGTAGATAGTTTAATTTCTTTAATTTACTTTCTATCATTTTTTAATTCATACAAAATTAGAAAAAGATAAAAAGTAAGTTAAACCGAGATTAAAGTTACTCTACATTGATAGAAATGAACATTAGTAGCAGACTTTGCTTATTTCAATTTATAGTTATTACAATCTAGTTCTGACAGCCATAAATAAATATAAAGTTATAGAATTTTCTTATTTTTTTTACAAGATTAAATTTTTTTTTTTTTTTTTTTGTCAATACTAACGCAGCAAATGGTGTTGCAATTATTGAATTTGTATCAACAACCGTCAAAGGGTATATATAACTGAGATAATTTCAAAAGTCTAAAATATAAAATATAAGATATAAAACATAAAATTAAAACTTAAATTATATTTTTAAACTAAATTGTTTTACTTACTGGAAAAATTGGGAAAAGCGGAAGAACTTTAAGCTCCACGGGAAGATCGTAATATATATAGATATATATTATATATTTTGATATATAATACTCCATCGGATACAATAATACATCTGGATCTGTATGGAACAAACAGTTAGACAATGCAACATTCGCATAACTGCAAGGTATACTAGCAATTTTTTTTATATCTCATATATATTTATATAATAATATATATTTCTCTCTCGTGTGTGCTTCCTGCGCGCTTCATGAAGACTTTCGGTTAGATAGGTCTTTCGATTTCTGCGAGAAAAGAAGGTACAGCTCGTTTTGTGCATTTTGTTCCGTACGAAATTTTTTTTTCGTTTTTCGGTATTCTCCGTTTTTTTTGCGTTTTTTTTCCTTTCTTTTTCGTCGTTTCAAGCCCCGCCGCACGCGGGACGTGTGTATACGTGTGTGCAGTCGTGACGCGTCGCACATTTTGCTGCCTAGTAGCCCTTTTAAACCTTCGGGATAAAGTGTAAAATGCCCGGGAGTGTCCTTCGAGGACGCGGACGGGCCGACAAATGTCTCCATTTACCCATACGTGACCGATCCCGAGGTTCTCGAAATGGGAAACGTGAGTGGGAAGATACGCGAAATTATTTCCGCGCGCGGGAACTTCCGCGCGACGTCGATTCTCTCACTTATCCTCACCGAGAGGATAAATTTATTCCTCGCCGGAAAATATAAATTGCATACTTAATTCTCTCCGACTTCTTCACAGTCATTTTTTTCCCCTCCTCCACCCGTTACGAAATGCTCGTTCGCCAATTCCCTCCCTCCTCCACCCCTCTGCTTTATCGCCGAGAGCCTATCGCCCGATTGCACCAGTTTGATACTCGAGCGATCGATAGTGTTTGCCGCCGAAATTCGACGCCCGACGAGGAGTCCTCGAGTTACACTTCGGTGACGGGGGAGAAGGAATGAAAAAGGGCGCTCGGTGTGGTCCGCGGATCCTTCTCGTGCGGCGACGGCTTTTACAACGGACTCTTAATATTCATTTCATGCAACATTTATCGCGGCGCGATCGCGGTTCGCCGGGGGAAAAGTCGCGGGCTCCGACTTCGTGATATCCCGCTGATATATTCAGCGCTTGGTTGAAAAACCGAAATGCAAATCGATGCGGCAGGGTAAATGCACCACTAAATGACCGCTCTTAGGCATGTCGCTTTAGCTCCGATCTCTTTCTCTCTCCTTTGTCGAGCGAAAGTAAAAATTTCGTCGCGTAATTATGCTTCAAATGATCCGTGTCTCAAATGTTTGACGCTTCATCGACGTTTCGCGCGCGAGTGGTAAAATATAATGTGAAATTTATAACGAAAGAGAGAGGAGAGATAAAACTGACATTGCAAGGAAATGAGAAGTAGTTCTAGTGAATGATCGCTTTGATCTATCACACTGTAGAGAGCCAAGGGAAGTGTGTGACAGCCTTGGATTAATAGCACAACGCGATGCTTAGATAAAATCAACATTCATTTTTTTAATGACTCCATATCAATAAATTATTAATTTGATGGAAGGTTTTTCTTTTCCTGTGCTGTACCCAATTATCCGTCAGGCCGCTGGTCATATTGTAATACGAAGAAATATTTCCGAAACGATAATTAGCTCTTTCTCTTTCGAAAACACAAAATTGCTTCAAACAATTGCGGAAGTAAGCGTGTGCAGTGAATATCTATTGATCAATTATTCAGTAGTGTACGTACCCTGCGATTAATTGAGGTGAAAAATTGGAATGAAAGATTGCACTGCGAGGAAAAAAAAAATTGCTCGGGGAAAAATGGCGATGTTCCCCTTTGTACAAATATTATATCATATACAAATAAATTACGTGTGCGGATACGCCATTAAAATTTATCCACGCAGTCGACGTATATACACAAATGTAATCGTTAAATCGATTAACTTGTTGCATTAGTCGTGCAATTTGTTGACCCAAAATTTCCTCGGGGCAAGATAATTTCGTCCGCCCCAATAATTTCTTTTTTTTTTTTATTCTTCTTCAGCGTAGTATTGGATAATCACGACGAAGGTTTGCGAACCTCGTCGACGATAGGATGTCGCGAACCGCGGAAGCGCTAATTACCTTACCTAATTTGTCGATCGATTTTTAGTCTCTCGGTGAGAGTAAGGGTGCGCACACATCGTTTCGTCGTGGTCGCACGCGACTTTCGCTCGAAATCCTGTCTCGCGATGGCCACGCACCCTCTCTCGTTCACGATTTTTTTTTCTTTATATATATATATATATATATGTATATATTCTCCGTTTTTTTTTTCGCTATTGAACACACGTACTCTTTCTCCCTGAGGTAACGTATTCGCCGGTCCCGGCGAGCGGAGAGCGAACCGCGGTAGCGTGACATGATGGATCGCGTTTCTCGAAATCCTCTCTTCGTATTTAAATACCTTAGCGGTATAGAATACTTTGGTGATAGCGTGTCCTCTTCGAGCGTTACAAAACGTTAATGTCGTATCAAGATGAACAGTGATATATAAATCTAAGATGAAAGTAACTTTACGAAAAGCTTCAGCGTTCACCGTGTATTTATGGAAAGGAGGAAGAGAGAAAGAGAGAGAGAGAGAGAGAGAGAGAGAGAGAGAGAGGGGGAGAAACAGAGAGAGAAAGACTCCCTATTAGAGACTTCTTGCGATAGCGTGTTTCGAACATGCTAAATATTAATATTGCGCCAAAGTCGCGTGTGTGGGGCGAATGATAATTTAAGTCCAGAATGGAAATTGCCGTTTTGCGCGCCAAACGTGGGAGCCCGCGTGCGCTTGGCGTCACTCCGAAGTACGGTATCGCAAAAACCTTCCTGTCTTCGTTGGAAAATCGATTTTCGCGACACGCCGTCGTTATTTATCGTCCGTTTATCGTTCGTCCCGCAGGAAGTTTCTCTGCGTACGACGACGCGCAACGGTTAGTTTGATTATTCGTGGTACGGGGGTTAACGAAGTTAATGACTGATAGGGCGACTCGGTAATGTGTATCGTCCCTAAAAGGAAGCGGTACACAGCTGGACTGTACATTGCCGAGGGAAGAACAAAGATGAACGTTATCGTCATCGTTCCTTCTCGCGATGCAGTTTCGCCTTTGTCTCGACCGGGCCGCACTCTAATGATCATTTTCGATTAAAGAAGAAAACGCGGACGAAAACCTCAGACAAGTAGGGCGCTATTCTTGGCTCTCCGCACTACTTTTGCGCGAAACCGAGTCTGACATTTTCCAAATGCGTTCGCGAACGATCTCGAAGCTGCAGCAACGAATGTCTGCTAGGTAATTCATCTTTAAATATCCATGGGATCTTAAGCCGTATATGCGGAGTGCCCTAATAATGAAAAGTGGACGCTATTTTGGTGGCAAACGCGGGGATGTTGCGATGGCAGTTATTGGCGTGGAAATAACGTACCGTTTTAAACGCGACTGCGTGTACGGCCGGCGTTAATTTTTTTTTCCCCACTCGAAACAACTACGCCTTCGGCCTTCCAACGAAGCGTTTTTTTTTCTCTTTCAATGGCTTACGTAATTGGAACAAACGCGGTAATGCAATTTGCATTGATGATGGAAATTAACGTCTATCATTTTACGAGGATTATTAAACGAGAGAACTTTTCCGAGAATAATTGTAATAAATAAAATACGACAGACGCGCGGGTTCTAATGGATTCGCATCGCGTGTCACGCCTCTGGGATTGTCTCCCCGTTAAGTCACGTGTCCTCCCGCAGTCGGTCGCGTTTCGTGTCGGTCGCGACCTTTTCCAAGGGTCAACATCAACGATATCCGCGCGCCGGATCCGAGCGTGGAGAGAGCAACATGGGCGCGAATCGTCCTCAGAGAGAAATAGAGATAGATAAAGACGGCGAGGAAGATACAGAGACGGAGAGGCCTTCTGCCTTCCCGAGACCTCCTAGGAAATTGACATTTGCGCGAAGGGCCCATTACCCTAGAGACCACACTTTTTTTTTTCCACTGCCACTTACGATAAGAGTAAAAATTTATACAAGTTTTCCCGTTGACGATCGAAGAGTCCTGGCCGTTCTCTCGGATATTCGGTATCATCGAGGTTCGAATCGGGCGTGCCGCTGAGAATCCAACCATTCGAATTATTAATGAATAAAGTAACTTTGTACTGTTTCACTCTTTGCACTCTTTCGCCTCGCTAGAAATAAAAGACAACAAAGTACGAAACTACAAAGTAAAAAGTTATATACGGAACTCCTTCGTGGCACGTACAGGAATATGAGCGGATATTCTTTTCGAGTGAATCTTCTCTGAAAAAAAGAAGAATTGAAAATTGAAATTGATATCGGAATTCGGAAATGATAATAACGATGACGATAAATGATGGAAATAAGGATAATAGGATCGTCGTTATTGATCGTTTAAACGCGTCTTTAGTCGCGAAGAAATTCAGATTTGGAAGATTGATGGAATCACCGGGAGTTTATAAACGGCTATCCTCTTCGGATAGGCGTTTAGAATCTAATTCAGTTCGCGTATGCCATGACAATCCTGTGATCGATCGGAGGAGTATCAATAATTCCCGCGTGCCCTCTTTCTATTTACGTGTCATCTACGATCACCGCGATCGATCTCGCGACGAACGCGAAACGAGGAACGCAAGTTGCGCATGCTTTCATATTGATATAGTGTTATTTTAGCATGAAACAGGAAGATGGCAAGATAACAGAATGTAAACGTCTCTATTTACATGCAATCTCAAATATTTCTCGCGGCGAATGTATATAAAATTTCTGGACACGGTGTAAAAAATCGTCGAGCATCAGGATTGGCAACTTTTCTCGGCGATATTCCGACAGAACTTTCGTCTAACTAACGTATACAAATTTGTATCAGTTTATTAACAGTAACAGCGATAAGCATGTTTCCCGAAATTTTTCTAATTTAATTTTTGATTATCAATTCCGAGAGAGAAAAATTGTACGCAAACAGGAAAAAAAAGCTATAAGTTGACAAGCTGAAAATTGACAGATATTGTCATTTTTCGCGAGTTACGAGCAACTCCGTGAGCAACAGCTGAAAAATTGTGCGTCCAATTATGTGCGAAATATAAACGCAATTTTTGACAAATATACCCGGCTCTTTATCGACAGCTGGTTATATTTTATCTGAAATCAATGAGATGCGTTGGTGCCGATCGTCGCTGACTGTCGCAGTTTTCTACGAGTTAAATCAACAAACAGCATAAAAACGTCAATCTCGGTTGACATATTTCATTAAAACGTCACTCGCCGCACACGTGGTACATCAAAGTCCAGGTGCGTATTACATCGCGCGGAAGAACTCCTTCGCAAAAGTGATGTGATTTTCGATTTTTTTTACACCGGTTTTTTTAATGACAGATTTTTCACGCACGAGCTTTCGACAGGCTTACGACGAATTCGGCGAGATTAGACACGTACAAATTTTCGCACGGACGATACGTAATGGTCACAAGGGCGAGGTGACACCAACGAGTTGTTTTTACGATTAAATCGCGACCCCGTTCCAAGACAATAGATATTTGCATTCACATGCACTCGGCCTCGCATCGCGGGTGGGTATCCTGCGTGACTTATATAATCCAAGGCCGCCGCGAATAAAAGGCAGTAGTCGGCGTCGATTGACTGGTTGCACCGCCACCGCCGCTCTGCCACCGCGCTTGTATCAATTATCGAGCGCATATTGGAAGTCGGAAACGCGTATGAAATCGGTCCCGATGAGCCCGAATCCCCGCTGCGAATATTCGCGGGGGCTTAATGCGGGCATAAAATGTGGTATCTCGCGCCGGCAGGCTCAACCTGCCGAGAGAGAGAGAGAGAGAGTATCTCTTTGCGGGAAGATACACCGCGGTTATTATCAAACTCGCGAAGTTCGTGTGAATTGTTTCGGTATATCCGTCTCTCTCCCTCTCTCTCTCTCTCTCCGAGATCCGAGCGATGCGATTTCGAATTAACGGTGGTAATTTGCGCGGTATATATCGGCTATAATTGATGGTAGGGCATCGATTCGCTCGATTTGGAAAAGGAAGAAACCTCTCGGCGAGATAATCGAATTGAGATCATTGAATTACTGCAGAACGCATGCCACACGGGTTGTTTCTGCAAACATCGGCTAAATGGATTTGAGTGATTCTTTCAATTAAGTGCGAACCACGATTCGCAACGTACGCGCAACGATGCGTAAATCTTTTGTCGTTTGTTCATTGAACTTTATATGCGATTTATGTGTATCGCAGAAGCTGGGAATTTTTCATCCTGCAAGAGAGTTACAAATACCTCGAAAGTCGGGTATTTTGCATCCCTCGCGAGTAAAAGCAGTTTAATATTATTAGAAGAATGAATAATCGTTATCCGTAAAGAGCCTTTGGCGTGAAAAAGCGCGTGAAAAGAGGATTAAATGGAAAACATCTTTCCTTTTGCACGCTTGATACCGTAAATTCGTAGTTAATTATGTGGATATGCGCGACGCGCATGATGAAAGAATCGCCGTTATCTACGCATTAAGTGGTTTTATTAGCACTCGTGAGAAGTTAATAAGAGTTCCCTTAGCGATGTAATGGACGCCCTTAAATTGGCGCTGGTGTGCGGCGAATATTGGCGGCTGGTTGAACCTTATTTTACTTGTAGTAGTATCGTAATAAAAACTTTTATTTCGGCGTATCCCGCTCTAACGAGGAGTATTATATAGTTGACCAAAGTTACACGTTTTAGTAATCCTCTTAAGATCGGATTCTTGCGGGAAAGGAGAGCCCTCCCACCGCCTTCCATCTAATTCTGTGTCTGATCAATAACGACGTGTGTCACTTTACGTTTTGCTCCTGTTAAACGTATTAAAACTAGAGGAAGCTTACTCGTTGACGAAGGAAAATAAATAACAGACGGTACAGAAAATAAATTAAAATAATGGAAAAAAAATTAATATTTGCTTGTGCACGCGCGACACGATAAAGTTAAACACGTGTACTCGAACTCACCCCTTGAAGATTTATTTTCAGGATGTTTAAAAAGAATCCAGTAAGCTTTTTTAGTTGGGTTTTTTTCTCAAAATGCTGCGAATGCTGTCACCACATTTCATGTGCAAGATCATAAGAAATGGAACGCAAACTTTCAATGAAACAATAAATGAATAATAACAGTAACGAGTTGAAGTGTCTTTCTCTTTGATATCACGACACAAAAATTTGATAAATTCATAAAAAGCACATACCCATTCCATTCCTGGAATGTTTTCATTTTTATCTCTCGGAATTTGTTCATTCGCGGACAATATTTTGCATGTAAAAAAAAAAACACACATTCACAATTCGTAAATCTCGAAAGCAAATCTCTCTGCGGAGAACCAATTTTTCTACAGGCGTTTTGACACCGTTCGTAAAAAACCGGTCGATCACCCGGTAGATTCCAGATAAACTTGGAATTATAGCACTTTCGGGTTTGATTTCACTGCCGACGCTTTAATCTTAGTTTAACCTACTCTTTGCCTCTTTCCCGGAACTGTGGCATTAGAAGGAGGCGAGGAATCAGTTAAACCTAAATTAAGATTGACGTTTGTAAAATTACTTGAGGTATCTGAAAAGAGTAAACCAAAACTCACGAATCAAGTCAAATTTTTGTTAGATAGATTAGAAAAAAATACATATAAAATCATTTGTCATATTTTCATTCTTATATGAATAGATATCCTCAGATATTGTTAAAATAATATCGTTAAGACATTTTAAAAAAAAGATCAGAAACTTCAGACGTTTTTAAACGTCTTCAAACGTTTTTTTGGACCTTCGTGTCGTTTGAATAGACTCGCTTGTGCGTGTCGAAGATTCAATCAACATTAATCGTCAGTCGAGTTGGACAGATAAAAAGAGAGGACCCTTCGATCGTCAGGAGAGCCGGCGCGACTCTTTCGCTTCGCGTCGCGGCGCGGTTTTTTTTGCGAAGAGGTCCCGACGGAGTGACTCGGGACCATGTTCCTAATATTCGGAGACGTGTAATGGCGAGACCCGCTCGAGGGGGGAAAAAGATCTCAGGCCGGCGAGGGCGACGGCGTAAAACGCCACGCGCTCGCATTTCGCTGTTTCTCGGGAATCCGCGGAGAAACGTTAGCAGCGACATGTCGACGCCGCGCGAACCAACGCCGCAAGAACGACGACCGTTCCCGTCGTCGTCTTCCCAAGAATTATCGGCGGCTGGCTTTCACCCGTTCCAGACGTCGGGGGGCCGAGCCAACCCGGAGGGGGGCGGTCAACATCTCGCAGGATCGAGGGCGATCGCGTGCGTGCCGGATCCTCGGGACTAGGACGACTAGGACTTGGCCTTGTCGCTCTGTGCCTTGTCGAAACCGTCGATCAGCGTCTCGATGATGAACTTGATCGTCAGCTTGTAGATGTTCTCCACGTTCTCCGAGTATCGGTCTTCCAGCGTGCGTTCCACCGCATCCAGAAACGGTTTCTCGATTTTCTGGAAAACAGAACGGTCGATCACGTATGAATAATATACCTTTTTGCTATAGTATATACATATTTAGAACCACTTTAATTAATTATCAATTATCATTTAATTAAAAAAACGATTTTTGTCGAGATTCAAGTCTGCATTAAAATTAAAATATACTGTGATTCAATTAAAATTGAAAAATCCTGGTACATTATTATTCTTAATTATATTATTCTAAAATGTGTTTCAAATATATGTATAATTACTTAGTGATTACTTTTGGTGTAATGCTAAAGCGAAAATACCATTTGTAATAGTGTTTTAAAAGGTGATACTAGTTTTGCGCGAACTGATTCTATGAATATAATACTTTCGTAACTCTTCTTCTTTTTCCGATTAAATTACTTGATGCGTCATCTGTAGACTAAGGCAAATATCTAGAAAAATGCTCCGTTTATTTGCTTAAAATTTATTCTAAGTACCGATGCAACTGAAGCTACCAGATCGTTCTTGAGTCATGAAAGAAGATAATATCGACACGGCGAATATTTAAACCTCGATCCATTTCCAGACGACATAGTCGACGACAATGGCGGGAACCGGCGCGGCGATTGAATCGACGATTGTGTTGCGATCGTCATATCCACGGCTCACAATGGACCTCGTAGGATTGTCCGACAGGAATTATCAATCCTATACAGTGACTAAGTTCATGGGACTTAGACGGAAAAGGAAGGCGAATCGGATTTGATTTCGTGCCAAGGGATTGAAACCGTGGACAAGCGTTTCACACTGCGAATAAATGCGACGACGCTCTGTAATGTAGACCTTCAACCCTCCTCGTACTGCGCATATAACTTAACTTTGCTTCTATTCGAGACATAAAAAAAAACCGAGAAATACGTAAACGCTAAAAGGCTGCATTTCAGGAAGAACTAAATGACGAAATCGATCAGTTGTCCTAGTTCGAGATTAATTTCGGAAAATGTCTCTCGCATGGAATACATGTATCATATTATAAGTCATTATGATTAACGGTTTAATTCTGAAATTATATTCTCAATATATACATATAATATTGCCTTTTCATTTTTAAATTAATTTTACTTCAATAAAATATCTTCCATCTCCATTTTTAACCGCATTTTTAAGCATTCTTACGCTTGCCTTTTCCTACATAATTCCTTTATTCCTTTTCTTTGTCGAGAAGATAAAGCGACGCGGAAAGAGCTCCCAGCACACGGGGCTTCCTTCTCTCGCGCACAAAGAAAATTCCGTTTCGATCGTCGCGAAAGTAATAAAAAAACTTGCATGCATACGCGAGAAAGTCGAGAAGCATTATTACTTTTGCGTACCTGCATTGAGGTGCTCTTTTAAAGATTTTTTCTCTTTGACATGCATCAGGATTATTACTTCTTACAGCTGTTGCATTTTACTGCATCCATCAATACACATATATGTAATATTTATTTATATTTTTAGTATAAATTGAAATTTATTGTTACGTGTGTAGTATTATCTTTCCGCAAAAGCACAAAGCTCAAATACTATTTTTTTTATTCTTCCGGTTAAGGAAGATTAAGTTGATAAGTGCTTACGTACGAATTTATTGATACGTGAAGAAGAAAGATTTATCGAACGAATAAAATTGATGCATGCTTTCGTTCAAATAAACGCGCACATTAAGTCTATCGAGAAAGTCATATATACATATTCAATATAACGAAATGTCAGGTGATTCATTCGTATGCGATTATATTAATGCAATCGTATTGGGAAAATGCTCCCATTAAAATGTAATTAATTTAATGAATTTGACATTTGTTTGTACATTTGTTTGTATGTATACATGGACAGCAAATTTATTTAACCAAGCAGAATGATTAACCGTACGATTATACGTATATAGTCAATCAAACATCGGAATTTCCCCTTCCCCGAATTTTCCTCACTTCAATCATAGCAAAAATGTGATTTTGTGCTGTTTAATTATTCGTTTCCCCGCGTGCCGATTTATGCTCACGTTACAGCCGACTCGGATGGCCAGAAGCGTTATCGCATCGATTTTCATGTTCTGTGTTCGAAGTATTTTTGAACTAACAGGATCGTAAATAAAGTTATGGAATATTTACAAGTTCTATGAGCAACGGCTGTTCTTCTTTCAGGCGTCACCGTAGTTTGCACGAATCAAATCGAAGTCATGTATTATTCCGAATTTGTCTCTCTCTCTCTCTCTCTCTCTCTCTCTCTCTCTCTCTCTCAAAATAGCATTTATGTATTTTACAAAGACATTTTCGGTGAGAAAAATTTGTCAGTATTTTGTATCGATGTGTTTATGTTAAAGGAACGTTATTTGCGATAAAAAATATCAGTACAGGCTTTTTGCAAAGGATCGGTCACCGTGAAATGAAATTTTGCGTATTTATCTCTCGTGATAATTTATTTTACCAGTTGTTCCCGAGTCGTTAAACGTAAGAACAATTAAAGAAGAATTTTTTCTTATTAGATATCATGCAGGGTCGCAACGTGCCATGGCAAACAAATGGCGGACACCAGCTGTGCAGCGGATTATGAAGGACCATGAGGTAACAAAATACCGACGCGCTATAGCGACGTTGCGGGGTGAAGTCTCAACATTTGTTATTCAATCTCTCTTGCTGCGAATTTTTCTTCTTCGTGAAGGGACGGCATAAATTTCGCGAAAAATAATGTAATGCGTACAATAAAATATTAGACGAAAACTCGTATAAAGTAGATAATAAAACTGAACTTTTAATTAACAGTGTGAGTTCAATAATCTGGTCCATTCTGAATTCTAATATAATCAGACAAAATTGTAATATTTTTAAAATAATAAATCCGATACTATTTATTGAATTAATTAAAAATGAAACTAAAACCATAAATTATTATTCTCCAATTTAACGAATCGTGACATAAATAAAAAAAATGTAAAGAGAGAGATTGTAAAATGATTTTACACATCCGATTAAGAGAGTACGTTACAGAAATTAAACGTGCGGCGCATTAAGTGTTAAATATTCGCGTACATTGTGAGAAACGCAACGAAAGTTTGTTCCACATTTGCGTCTGGAGCGTCGTTATACTTTAATTGTGCATAAATCTCTTTCTCGGAGACAGGTTCTGAAATAGTTTACAGTGTTTCCCAAAAGTTTAGTCTCTTTGATTTCAATGTTGCGAGAGATAAGCGCGGCACAAAGAGAATGTTCGCCAAGAGATGGGAGACGTATCTCCGACGAGAGAGAGGAATTTTCGCGCGCTTTCCCGGTATTCTGAGGTAAACTACCCTGTTCTAATATGTAAAGCAAGTCTAACCAACCTGCTCACGTAATAGATATATATTTTTGTAGAAAGTGATATCAATATTCAAAAAGTATTCTGAGTTCCTAATCGAAGACTAATTACATTATTATTACACAATTATTACAATTATTATCGAGAAAAATTACTCGAGGTAAACTGTTAATATTCGGACATGTAAGGCAAGTCTAACTGATTTGCTTATGTAAAAAAAATATATATTTTTTTAGAAAGTGATATAAATATTCCAAAGGTATTCTAAGTTCCTAATCAAAGACTTATTATATTATTATTACACAATTATTACAATTATTACCGAAAAATTACTCGAGGTAAACTGCTAATATTCTGATATAAATATATAAAGCAAGTCTAACTGACTTGCTTTATATATAATTTATGCAAAAAAAATAAATATATATTTTTAGAAAGTGATGTCAATATTTTAAAGAATTCTAAGTTCCTAATTAAAGATTATTTTATATTATTATTAAAAAAGTATTTGATTATTACATGGAAAGAACAATTTTGCTGAATCCAAATATGAAAATAATTTTTGTTCAAAAATCAAAATAATTTTGTGTCAAAATGATTGCTAGAATATCAAAACGTTTTATAGCAATGCTTATCAGTTTTAACATTCCAACAAATTATTTTGATGATTCAACAAAAAATTATTTTCAGATCTGTTTTTAGCAAAATTTTTAGACTTTTTAACAACATCGTTCTTTCCGTGTATTCAATACATACCCTGTATATATCCAATTCTTTGATTCTTTAATTTTATCATGGGCTATTTTACTTCACGCGCTTTCCTTTTTTTTACATTATTTCACGTAATTCTCTGTTTTGTAATACTTCTTTTGTAGGCCATTCCAAAATACGCCAGTTCTCTAAAGCTACACCTGCACTCGAGGACTAGAATTATTTGTAATAACTCATAATTTATTTTCATTACGCGCAGGATTTATACCCATTCCATTTCTCATGATGTATTCAAGCTCTCTGCCGGTGCCACAAAAGGCTACATTCACCAACTACATTCACACCGGGGTTGGATAAAAAGCACCCGCTCGCGTGCGCGAGAATAGGCGC